CCCCGGTGCTGCCCATTGCTCCCATTCCACCGTGCGTTCCGCGGTGGCTGGGGTGTGGGGTGGCGAGCATGGGGGTGAGAGGTGTGGGTTCTCCCCTCCTCCTTTTTCGTCTCCCACTGCTGCAGCTGCCGCTGAGGGGGGTGGAGGTGTGGGAGTCGTGGGGAGTGGCACTAGGGGGGTGATGTGGGAGTGGAGCTAGGGGTGAAGCAGGGGGTGTGTGAGAGGGGTGTGGGACTGTTGGGGGAGGTTGAGTGGAGGCTGCTGTCTTGTCGTCCGCAGCACCTGTAGTCCGGGGCGCACTGTCCTGGTAGCTCAGAGAGCCTGTTGCACCTGTTGCCCGTGGGTCCGTTGCTCCTGCCGCTCGTCGCAGCCGCAGAGCCTGTTACTCCTGTATTCCGGGACGCACTGTCTCGGTAGCCACTGAGAGCCTGCTGCACCAGTCGCCCGTGGGTCCGTTGCTTCTGCCGCTCGTCGTAGCCGCAGAGCCAGTTACTCCAGTATTCCGGGGCGCTCTGTCTCGGTAGCCACTGTGTCAGCCGCCACTGTGTCAGCCGCTTCTGTTGCCCGTGTGTCTGCAGCTTCAGTCGTCGCCTCCCATCTTCTCTCCTTTCATAGTCCCTCCTCCTCCTCACTTGCCCTCTGTGATAGCCTCTAGCTTTGCTGATAATTATGAACTATTGCTATGACTGCTCATTGTGCTGATTACACCCCACTTTGGCTATGGGGGTGTGTCAGAATATGTTGTTTGTGTAGCCTGCAGTGGGGTACTCTATAGTGAGTACAGCCCCTTAGGGTTTGCTATTTGTATCCTGCTGCTTGCTAGTTCAATCATTCCTTCTCAATTCTGTTCCTGCACACAATCCTAGCTCGTAATTGGCTCCTCGTTACTAGTCCTACTGTGGCCTAGGCTACTAAGCCTAGGCCGTACTCCTACTACTTCTGACACGTATACCTCTACCGTGCGGGTTGGGGGCCCAAGCGTGAGCACGACAAGGGAGTGTTGTCGAGAAATTAGTGTTGGCCCCGCACTCGCTTGGGCGAAGCCGGCCTTGTGGTCGGGTGCGCGGGAGGTGCGGCCGACCGTTCTGCAAAGGTCGACATCCAAGGTGGGCGTGCAGGTCGACAAGGTGATCGACCTGCAAGCGACCGCTGCAATATCACCGTCGACGGGATCCAGCGGTCTATTTCGATGGGAAGGTCGACGGAGGTGGTCGTCGACCTACGCGGGCCTGTCGAGGAGCCGACGATGGTGTGGGTTCGATAGCAGAAACTGCTCGATTGGACGATGGAGGGGTCCGTCATCAGAAGTAGACTTCCACCTGAGCGATGATCGACAAAGGAGGTCGTCGACCAGGGCGCTGGGCAGTCGACCCGGTCGACTAGGTAACCTGCTTGGCGATGTTATGTGGAGGCACGCGAACGTCGTCGAGGCCGCGATGGCGAAGGCGACTTCGGGCTGGTATTTCGAAGTCGATATGGCTCATCATGCGCAGATAGCAGCCGACATGACGCGTGATGATGCATGTCGGGCCAATAATCTGCGAGCACCTGCGAGTGTGTGCGCTGCTGTTATCTACGTGTGCAACGCTAGACCGCCGCCTTGCTGTAACGTTGGCATGCCGTCAACCTGCTCTCTTGGCAGACCGCCTTTCTGCAGCGTTGGCGCGGTTCCTCTGCGCAATGCTGGCAGGCTGTCGACCATGCTGTGCTGGCAGTCGACCTACCTGGCTGCTAGGTTACTAGTCTCTGTTGCAGTATTTGCCATCGCTATCATTATGAAATCCCAACTTTGCTAGTAGAAAGTCTTGCCAATTCTTCCCGTGAATGTCAAGTGCTAGAGAGCGTAGGCAAAGCTACGATCACTCACACAAATCGTGCCAACCCCGCGGTCTAGCTCTCACCGTTGTAGAGTAAATCTCAGTAGAAGTAAGAAAAATAGTTTGCTTACACGTAGAGAGATTCAATGGAAATTGACGCACTCTTGTTCCTTATGCTTAAATTGCAAGTTCGCCAGCCAAAGAAACTTCACTTGACAAGTGTCACGTGTATTACCATGATTAGCTGGAATGACAATATTATTTCCTCCCAGCACCTAGGCCCATTGTGTCATAGTCGCGCTCAATTGGAAGAAATGAGAAAATTGTTGAACCCTTTGCGAACAGAGATCGTAATAAATGAAAGCAAAACAGAGGGCCTTAAAATCCATACTGTCAAAGGGCGGGCCCTCACGAGGTATGCCAGTATAATAGACCCCTCGCTCGTGTTGAGATTAATAGAAGTACTTAGTTACAATCCAGTCGTAAGTATGAAGTACTTTTGTAGCCCAACATTCCTTATTAAAGAACCATGAGGCTTTTATCTGGGAGGTTACGGTAGGAGGTCGATCATATTGGCTCAGGCTCGAGCGCATGAGACGCGCAACGATGGTGGTCGACTGAGTTGAGCCAGACGCGCGATTAGTCAAATCGAGCAATTTTGTCAAAGTTATGCAATGCGACCCACTACACCTGGTCGTCCTTATTTTTACCACCTGAATTGTCTTTTAGAAACACCCTAAGTGTTTTTGTTTTTTTGTTTTTTGCGAAAAAGACACACAGATATTGTGGGGCGACCAGCATTTATTCCTAATGAAAATCACACTGAGTGATCCAAGAAAAGGGCGGATTGGCATTGACAAAGCTGCAGATTGCCGTCATCTCGCGAAGGGAATGCGTGACTTCCCCGCAAATTATAAACTGCTCTCATGCACAAGCTTGACAAAGGGTAGTACCCCAGATGGTTCAGTTAACGGCAGCGAAAATGTGGAGGACCAGGTGTAGTCCGCGCCCTCAGCAACATACACAGCTGAGTCAGCTCAGCTGGAAAAACTCGAGCAGCAACTGAGTCAGCTCAGCAGCGGCGGTGTCTATTATGAATGAACAACTACTCGCAGAAATATCCTGCACTGTTTCCCGCGGACCATCGGTTTCTGATTCCGTTTTAGGGATGAAGTTTGTAACTTCTTGCAGTCATTATGGTCGTCTGAGGTCGCGATAACAGTTCGACTAGTAGAGGCAATTTACGAAAAATGGAGCAGCAACCGAGTCAGCTAAGTGAGAGTGTTGGGCCCATGATGTTAGAACCCGCCTCGAGCAGCATCACCAAAATTGCGTGGTCCCCAATCTGTCCCGAAACCACTGTCCCAGAACAGACACAAATCCGTCCCGAAACTATCTTGAAAGACACTTTCGGGACATTTTCGTCTTCAGGCGGTTTTGCGCTACATTTCAACATGTCCCAAAAGTGACTTGTGCCGTAATCTGCCCAGGCCTGGGAAGGTTAGAACTGCAACGCGATCAGAAGACGCAGGTTCGATGCCCGTCGATGTCAGTTCCATTGCGTTGGGTGTAGATTTTGTTTATGATTTTCGTTCGTGTTGTACCCTTCTGGAATATTTCATTACGAAATATAAGTACACCACAATGTTGGTGGTAATCATAATCCCACAATGTTACCAGTAGTTGTTTGTTACAAAAACTGGCACTCAAAACAAGTACAACAAAACAAAATATTGCTCTTGTGTTTAGCGTCAAAAACCTCATTGAGAATCGAACTCAACACCTTCGGAAAATATCTTTAGTACAAGACCACTGCGCTAGGAGCTAACGTGAATTCAACCTAAGGTTGCTGTTCAATTTGGATAGGCCACATTCATGTGTGCGCTACATGCACCGAATGGACCACTACCAGGTTTCTGCGTTGTGCCAGTCGCATCAGATATTCTCGCGTGAACAATGGAACACGAGCCCTCGGGATCCGCGAGAAAGCACGACGGCGTCAGTCCAAGCTGACTCAGCTTGGAATGACGGACGCCTTGCTGCCGCATCATCGTGGCTCGTTATGAAAGAGTCGAGCACGTGACTCCCGCTGATGCCATCACCAGTGCATGCATCGCGCCCATCACCCGACCATCGTGACGGTGAAGTCGCCATCATGACATGCCACGTCATCATTCCAGCAGGTACAGCTCTCTCTAGCGAGTTGCCTGAGCACGATAGGCCTGCGGCGCTTGCTCCCCGGACTCCCCCAAATCCTCGCGCAAACTTCCCACAATTCACTTTCAGTTGCTTTCTCACCATCCCTCTTCGTGTTCCTGTTAAGAAATAGCACCTAAGCAGTATACTACTGTCCGGCGTGCTTTGAGCAATAGCACCTACTGGTGCAATCCCCTGCTCCGGCGGTCAATCTTGCAAGCATCACATCAGAGCGGGCTATCTACTTTTCACTCGTCCCGCGCCTTTCAAGGCGGCGCCATCCGCTCAGACCCGTCCCGATCTTCGTCCGGCGTTGAGCAGCACGAGCAGTCGCGAGAAGCGGCAGCGAGTCCTGTGGAGCGGCAGTGTGCGGGTGCTCCAGCCTCGCCTGCCCCACCTTGGCTCAGCGGAGGCAGTGAGCCGCCCGGGGATGGCGCGTGAGCACATGTTGTGCGTGCTACTCGCATGGTGCCTCGCCCTTGCCACATCCGTCCATGCGCAGCCGCTCCAGGCATCGCAAGGTAGTACTACCTCCAGTCGTTGTGGATTCATGCATAACTGCTCAGTAGTACTAGTACATCACCTGAATAGTTCGTGTTCAACCAGTCCGCCGACCGCTCTCCCAACCTATCCCCAAAAGCATGCCTTGCCCTTTTCGTAGTACCTTCTACAGCATGATTGAGAAGGACGTGTACCCACTCCGCACCTACGTTGTTCCTGTCGCATGGGCCCGTTTCCACTCCGCACCTACGTTGTTCCTGTCGCATGGGCCCGTTTCCACTCCGCACCTACGTTGTTCCTGTCGCATGGGCCCGTTTCCACTCCGCACCTACGTTGTTCCTGTCGCATGGGCCCGTTCGCTCCGCACCTACTGTACCCGCTCCTCACCGACGAGTACCCGCTCCGCTTGCAAGCACAGAACTCCCGTTTCCCCCTCTCCCCATTCTTCCACCAACTAGTACCCCACCTCCCTTCCCCAACCTGCAGTGCAATTCCTGCAGGACTGCCAGACGGCATGGGGCCAGACCTTACCTGGATGGAGTGGCGCAACTCCCGAGTGCAGCACTGCGGTCGCCATAACATGCGACTCGAGTGGGATGATCGTGAATATGTGAGAGCACTGCATGCACATGACTGCGATGTTATCATGCAGTGGCAAAAGTCCCCAGAGACTATCATGTGGGTCATGTCCTAGGGCCGTGATTTACTGCTCAATGCTGATTATGGCTGATGGTAACGCGCATGGTTGTACGCAGGACCTTATTGGCAATCCCGGGTTTACAACAGAATAGGCTTCCAGACTCTATCAGCAACCTCAAGGAGCTGACTCACCTGTACGTCCTTGGCAACTCCTTGAGCTGCCTGCATACCTGGAAGGTCAGGTTGGAGTTGGTTTGAGGGATGTTCGGAGGAGGGTTTCCTGCTCCTAGCTTTCCCATTCCCTCCACCTCTCTTTGTTTACCCATGTGCTTCTTCTTCGTATTCCCCGGCCCTGGTCAACCCCAGCACTCGTATTATTGTTCACTCTTCACTTCACTCACACAGTCCCACTCCTACTGCTTGAACTTTACCAGCCCCTTCATAGTAGTTGAGAATGATCAGAACCTTCACGCTATAATCCTGTCCTGGTGCTTTACCCTCCTTCGTCCTTCCTTGCTCCTCGATATACCATAATCACCCGGCAATAGCCACCCCTCATAGCCCCATTTGCTGTTAAAAGGGGGCGGGTTTAATGCCATATGCATCTTGCCTATAGTCCCCCGCCCCCCCCTCCCCCCCCCCCCTTCCTCCCCTCCCATTTCCCATCCACCCCCCCTTCCCCCCCCTCCCCCCCTCGCCAGTTTCCCCCGTCCCCCCATTTCCCCACCTCCCCTACCCCACCCCGACCTCCCCCCCCCTCCCTCCTTTCCCACCCTTCCCACCCTTCTCCCCCTCCTCCCCCCTTCCCCCTTCCTCCCCCCTCCCCCCACCCTCCCCTCCCCCACCTCCCCCTCCTCCTCCCCCTCCCCCTCCCCCTTCCGCCCCCTGCATTTGTAAGTGTAAAACTCGTCGCAATATTGGATAATTGACAATATTGGATAATTGACAGGGATACTTCTACTGGTGCGTTTTCCCCCAGGTTCATGGACTCGTGAGGGACTTTGGATATTTTCTTCGGGTTTTGCACCACATTCGCTGAGAAGAGCTGTCAATGTTGTCCCCAAAGAACAATGCATTTTTGCAGTGAAGAAATGTTGCGAGATTAGACCCCAGGACTCATGCAGTTCCACCCTGCTAATAGCAACACCACTCATTTTTTAGCGGTATAGCAATAGAGATCCGGATCTTCTGGCCAAGTAAATGTGATAACTGTTGAGACAGATGTATACCACTTCTTCCTTCACATGCTCTAAAGTTTCTCATCACATCTCTCTCTTCTCTCCTCTGTTCATTCCCCTTCACCCCCCTCACCTTTCTCGTTTCCCCTACCTCCCGTCCTCGCATTATTCTAGTTATGCCTTCTAAGTAACTTCCTCTCCATTCTCGCCTCCCCTTATGCTGTCCTGTTCTTTACCTCCAGTTAGTCAGATGGTGTTCGAATTTTCCCATCCTGTTGTGGTTTCTGATCTCATCTTCTGTCTCTTCTTTGCTTGATTCTTTTGATAACACCATAATGTATAGTCCAGGCTATTTTTCCCTGTTGCCATCCTCTCTGTGGTTTGCTTTATAGTATGTGCCTCTCGTTACACTTCTCGTTTTACTGTTGTACTCATGAATCCCTGAGAGGTTACCTCCCTTTCTTGCAAAACTAGTAATCATCCCTTAGGTTTGTTAATTCTTCTCAGTTTTTGACTACTTCTGCAGTTTCTGGGTTTAATGCTCCCATGCCTTTCTTCCTTGTCATTCCATTTCAATTAACTTCTCACAATGTACTGCCGTCCTTGATCTAAGTTGTTAACTCTATGTTTTGCCGCAACTGCAGACTACTGTACAATAGCCGTTTCACTGGAGATATTTCCTTCATTTCAACGCTTACTAAATTGAAATATCTGTAACGCATTCTTCCTACTTGTTTTAGTACCTGCGTCTGTTTTGTCGCTTCTAGGTAAAAACAGTGAAAATGCAATGTCAGTGTTATGCAGCTTACCAAATAAAGCAAGGTCATGAACTTTTTATCCCAGCCTTAAAACTCGTGATGCCATGTCCATATCCTCGGTCTGATATCTCATGCTTCTCTTGTCGTCTGCCCTGCTCGTGTTTTCCTCAGGAATCTCCGCAGCAATGACCTGAGTGGCTCCATTCCATCTGAACTTGGCTCTCTCTTGTGTAATCTGCAATTCATGTGAGACATTCTGTTTTTTTTTTCTCTTGCAAGGTTTCTTCTCCCACTTCGTGTGTGATTTCAGTACCAGCCAGAGGTAAGAGCATTGAACAGGAGGATTGGAGGAGCATGGACAAAGTTGGCGTTGTGGGATTGGTGAGGTGGTAGCAGGGGTGCTGTGGTGCAATGGGGAATGGAGGATGGGGGGGTTTGCAAGATGAGCAGCAGAAATAGTGAGAGCACGAGCACGAGAGGGAAAATGGGGCTTATGGATGTTCATGACGCATCTGCATTCCTTTTCCCTGTCATATGTCCACCACGTGTCATGATGTCATCTGTACATACATGCTGTAATTCCGTTGTCGTTGGCTGTGTTGGATTACTGATCGTATGTGCAACGTACATATGCTCCCCCTCGTCCTTTGGTGATAACCACATGTCCAGCTTCAGCTGTGTTTTCATCCAGGTCGCCGATGCTTGCATTTACACTGTCAGCGATCTCTCATACAACCAAATTTCAGGGGGAATTCCGATTAGCGTTACTGCTCTTGCTCAACTCAGTTCCATGTGAGTCGCTTTCACAGAGATGAAGCAGGTGGGAAGGCTAGAACGATATGATGTATGTCACAGAACATTTTTGAGAGTGTGATGTAGACATGAGAAACGGGTGAACATGTTTGAGCCGAAGGTTGCCGAACCGAACATGTAAAAATTCCGAACTGAACATCTTCGGTTCGGCTGAACAGTTTAGAGGTGATTGGGGACAGTCTGAGAAGCAATGTAGAGCGGCAACAAAAAGGGCACCAAGCATTTGCCCCGTGCGCCTTTTCTTTACATCCATTCTCTTCTCGTTCTCACCTTCATCCTTGAGGGGGCAGTGGGTAGTTCTTCACCTTTGGTCTTAGAGGTCGCGGGTTCAACTCTCAGCAGCCACACTTTCCCTTGTCATTATGTTCACACCATGACGTGTCCACACTCCACCACACTCATCCATAGTGAAGTGTAGTCACAGCTAGCATTGCCACCTATACACTCATCCCATGGTCACGTTGCTAGCACCTATGGTGTGCAATATGTTGCCATGCCATGTGGGTTGTTAAGACTCTTTGCTAGCTTTGCAAGGCTGGCTAGCCTTTCCCTCAGCTTTGAGGTGCTGCAGCTAGCCTCAAGAGTTCAGCCATATATATGTGGCTTCCCTCTTCCCAGTTGTGCCCTTGTCAATCCAAGGGCAAGGCCAATCTGCTTAGTCGACAAAAGCATCGACCATGTTTGTCTCTAGTATTTTCACATACAGAGATTAATATGCAACCAGCAAATTGACCAAACATCTGACATTGTGAAGAGTTCTTGAGTGCTATGATCGTTTGCGATTGTCGCAAACTGGTTACCTTCGCAACTTCCGCACATGTTGATCATGCACATGTTCCACGCCCTAAAGTAATGGGGGCTAGTTGGGATTTGTAGATCCAGTGCGGTGAAGTGCAGTAGGGGGTTGAGATTTGGGTAGGACTTTGTCTGGGACCTTGTTGGACGAAAATTATGAATGGATCTCGATTTCGAGATCTGCCTCCAAATTGTGAGACTCTGAAATTGCCAAATTGACGGAACTTTTCGCTGGCGGAACTTTAAAGAGCTTTTAAGAGTGCAGGGTTCATTTCTGCTGGTGAATGTTTCAGTGGCTCAAAATTTCAGCATAGGAATTTTGTCGACTACATCTGATGAGCCGGGAGGGGGCTCGTCGACCAGCCCTAGGCTTGGCGAGCCGGATATGCATTGTCTTGCCGACGTGCCGGCGAGGGGCTCAAAAACCAGCTGGGCTCGTGCCAGGCGAGCTGGTAATTTGAGATTGCTGGCTCGGTTCGCCGCATTGATGAGCCAAGCCCCCGTCTCAGACTTCTGCTCATGCCAAGTATGTGTGCATTGTCAAAGTGTACTCGGAGTTCGTGTTCTGGCTGTCACATCGTGTCAGCCTTGCCTGAATCCGGTATTGAGTTGTTGATACATCGCTTTCCTTGCCGAATCTTGGCTCACTTGGCATTACATATGTGTGTTGCTCCATTCAGGAGACTCAATTTCAATAGGCTCTCTGGCCCGATCCCTGCCGACATTGGTTCTATGACCGCATTAGTGACCCTGTAAGGCCTAACTTGGATACATTCATTTTTTTTTTTTTCTTAATCAGTAACAAACAGATTCGTTGCATACCCAATCTGCGGCCTTTGTGCTCGTGCTTACTGCTGGGTGATCATATACCTTAACGAAGCTCCTCATCTCACCACTCTGCTTCAATTCCTTTCATGCTGTGTTTTTTCTCTCCTCACTCACGCATGTAATTCTCTATCCATGCTTTGTCTCAGCCACACACACCACAGCCAAAGTATCAGTGACGCACAACACTGTCACTAATTTCTTGTCTCTAAGTTAGAGTACAAGCTTTGATATTTTCTCGGCTCTGACTCGTGCCGGATGACCCACAACCACCCTCGCTGTACTTCCTCACTTTAACACGCTGCTCTCTGCCTCTGCCCTTACCCTGTGGACCATGCTCTTACCAGAGAGATGCGCATCAATCAGCTGACTGGATCTATCCCTGCTGCCATTGGTTCCCTCACAAGATTGACTTTTTTGTAAGGCTTTTGGGTGTTTCTTCAAACAATCGTTTCTGGTATTGTCTCCTCATACTCCTAGCTTCTAACCTGGTGGATATTCCCACGCGACAGAAGGTGGTTGAAAGCACAAGTCCAAGTCAGCGAATCGGCTCATTGGCACGAGTCGTGAGTCGAGCCGGGGCCCGGGTATAGTGCAGCCGACTCATTCCCGGTTTAGCCAACTCGGTCCGACTCGCGACATGTCGACGTATCAACACGTGGCTCGTCTCGTCAACTCCTGTAACCGCCAGCTGGCAGCAGCTTTGTCGAGTGTTGTTCTGGCTGTGCTTGACCTCTTTGCCGGAGACTAGGGGAGTAATTGGCTGCACTGCTGCTTGGCCCTGAGGGTTCGATTCTTGCAGACTGCGTCACTGCGGTCGTAGCGTATGATGTTTAGTTGCCGATTCTCTGTGTTTTCTTCACCCAGGCTAGATATGAATGATTGCTTTCCTCCGTTCCTCTCTTGTCCCGTATGTTCTTGCTCCCATATCTCTCTCCCACTCCTCTCTCTCTTCTCAACTTGGAAGTTGCTAGTCCATGTTTCCTCCAAATCGTTTCTGGATTCATCTTCTCTCCCCTTCTCGTCTCTTGGATTCTCTGCAAGGACTTCAATCTGTCCTCTTGCCCACTCCACCAATTCATTTCTTATCCCTTGCTCGGTGTTTTTTATTGTTTGACAAGCGTAGATGGCTTGAGAACAATGGTCTTGACGGCTCCATTCCTGCCACGATTGGCTCGTTAACAGCATTAAAAGAACTGTATGTCCTGCTTTCGTGTGTGGCTTTGGAGAGGGAAAAGTTACCATTCTCCTCACCTCTTTCTCCTAATCATGTGCCGTCTATCCACTGGTACTGGCTACACACATTCTATGTGTGAGTGCAACCTCAGAAGAGGTCTAGGGAAGTGGATATGTAAGTCGACGAGTCAAAAGTTGGACTAGAGAAAGTATCAAGATACATTTGAGCAAGGAGGTTGAAAAACCCAACCGAGGCTTAGGGTGTATTCAGATCGAGGCAAACGTACGAAATGACCCTAAACTGAACCCTAAAGTGTAACTTGTGCTAAACATGGCAGAAAAATAACAGAACACTATGATAAATGCCAGAGGAAACTCTAGGCTACTCCAACACTGTGTAGACTGTCCACTGTGGCTCTATTGTGCTCTTGTAAGAGTTTAAGAAGTGTGGATACCAGGTTTGTGTCGCCTATCTACAGTTCGTTTCAGTACATACCTGAATTTTAGTCTTGGGGCTTGGGGTTAGGGATTCGAAGTGATTTTGTTGCATCGATGTTAAGATCTCTCACCCTGCCAATACATGATTTTTATGCCTTCATATCATCTAGGTTGCTCATAGGATTGGAACCTGTCAATCTTTGCTCTGAGTTTCTGATTTCACCTTCTCTTCTCTTGGATCCTCCGCTGAGATGCCAATTTCTCGTCCATCACTCAGTCACTAATGCATTGCTCGGTCTTTCTTTCTGCTTTCATAAGCAAAGGATTCTCGGAAACAACAAGTTCAGCGGCTCCATTCCTGCTGCCATTGGCTCGCTAGCAGCATTGAGAGTATTGTATGACCTTTCTCTTGTTCTGCTTTCCCTCTTCAAGGTTCACTGAATGGTTGATGTTTTCTGCTCACATGGTCACACATCGTTACCTGGATTGACAATACCGTTTACGTCTGACTTGCCTGTTAGTTTGCTCGTTTTGCTTCTCGTCTGTTTTTTTTATGCTAGGTGGTCCTTGCTCCCTATGTTTTTGTTTTGAAGCTACAATCATTGCGTGCCTTCTTGTTTTTTCTTGTGCAAAAGTATAGTCCACGCACACTCATTGTTCTCACTTCTTTCAATCCTACTCACTTGTATATTTTTTATGTATACTAATCTTACGAGTGAGGCTTACAGGGAGAAACGAGTCGATCAAAACTCGAGCTTTGATCAAACTATAAAAGTGGTCTAAAAGGGCAAGTGGGCCCAAGTACAGAGAAATCCAACCGAGTTTTACTCGACTCGTCTGCATACTCGATCGAGCCAGCCTAACAACATTGAGTAAAACTCGACCGTGTTTTGCTCATGGCTAGTCCAACCTTGTCTGTGTTGTCCTTCAGAACGGTACTGTCCCTTATCAAAGTTGTCCTAACCATTTTTGATTTTGTCGCAACTGCAGGTTCTTGTACAACAACCGGCTCACTGGTGGTATATCCTTTATTTCGAGTCTTACTAACTTGATATACCTGTAAGGCCTTTCCCTGCTTGTTTCAAGACATGCGTCTGTCTTTTGTCTTCTTGGTAAATAACGGTGAGAACCCTAGGTCACATTATGTTATTAGCTATCCCAATAGTACAAGAACATGAACGATATATCCCACACCTAAACTCGTGTTGCCATGTTCGTATAATTGCTTCTCCACTATTCTGCTATCTCATGCTTCTTCTGTCTTGTTCCTTGCTGGCGTTTTATCCCGCTAGTGCAATCTGATACATACTTGTGAGATGTTTCATTAATTCCCTTGCAAGGTTACCTTTTCCCCCACTTTGCATGGGATTTCCTTACTGTAGAAAATGGATAGGTGAACTTCAGGGCACAATGGGAAGAACAAAATGTCCTTACTAGTCAGGAAGATGGTGCATTCTTTAGAGACTAGAGCAATGTCATTGGCCAAGGATGAGTTCTAATGGAGTTGTGAAGCCGTGTATGTATGTCTAAACTCTTGAGGCTAGCCAACGGTGCCAAACTAGAAAGTGAGCCCTCATGTTGCACTTGTGGGCCAGGCTGAAACAGTAGCATAGTGACAGGATATGGCACATTATAAAGACCATCAAGGTGAGCATGGGCTGAGAGAGCAGGTGGCAATGCCAACTGTGACCACACTTCATGGTGAGCATAATATGGGAGGAGAAAGTGCAGTGCTGGGAGGTTGATGATTCTAGAAGTGAGGAACTACTTAGTGCACAACTTCTACCAACCTGAGGTGAGAGCATTGAAAATAAGATTGGGGGAGCTTGTTGAAGATTATAGGTTGAGAGGGTGGGAGGAGGCAGCAGGGGTGGCGTAGTGGGTGTGTGTGCATTAGGCATGAGCACCGGCCGGACCCGGGCTAGCCTGGGTTGGCCAGGGCGTGGCGGCCGGCCGTTTGAAGATGTCTTCCTTCTCAGGCCGGGCTGCTAAAATGGCGGGCGACTTCGGCCCGACTGCCCGCCTGTTCAGGGCTATAGGGTAGACACGAGAAGCAAGCCGAGTGTTGTCTCGACACGCCCGACTCGACTCGGCAAACAGTTGTGTCGAGTCGGTTTTTTTTCTGTATCCGAATCGATACGATACAGATTGAGTCGAGTCGGCTCAACTTAATGGGCGATGGATTCCCTGACTCAATCTGAAAATTGTCAAGTCAGCAGTGCCTTACAGAATCAATGACTTGAGAAGAGGCACCTGACTTGTATCTAGTCGATTGTTTTGTTGCCCGCACCTGCTCTGGTCAAAATTTGTAAAAAAACGGAATCTCACACTTTCAAGGTCCTGTTTGGGGACGGGCCCACCTGAATACTATCCAAGATGCCTGCAGCATCCACCATCCAAGAGGCGAGGAGGAGCAGAAACGGGTCTGGGAACAAGCTGCCATCCCTGGGAGGGAGGGATCAGGATAGCAGACCCCTCAGTCAAAGGCCGGCTCAGCTTCCTGGCCAGCTTCACGCACTCTCCGAGTTTGCTCGACATCCTGGATAGACAGGCAAGTACCCCCCTGGAGGCATCCTTGCTGGCAATGGAGCAGCCCCGCCAAAGCAACTAGCCCTTACACGACTGGAAGAGGAAGACCTCCCTCCCAGAAGCCGCTGGGGAACCGCTGGACCCTCTGGAACAGACCACAACAGGGCGCAAACTACAACTCGCTTTGACCTTGAGCGTTCAAGGCCACCTCTTTGTGGAGCAAGTCACGTCCTCATGGGGCATGGCCGTTAACCCTAATGCAGGGCACACACAGTGGCTGCTCGCGCTCTCAGGATATTGGGCAGGGGATTGGCTCGCTGCTCCCCTTTTTCCATCCCTGTGCCTCAGCCAAGCCCACTTTCCCACAACCCAACGTTCCAGACAATATCTAAATCCCGGACCCGCGGCTACCAAATCACTTCCTTCCCTACACGGCACCGGCTCTGGACACACAACGCCTTGCGTGACAAAAGCATCTGCATGGCGCAGGGTGCAAATTTCAATTTTCATAAGGAGACGACTACCTTCTGTCCGGTCGAGGACAAGATTGCTGACATCGTCATCCGGGACCGCTCTTCAGGGGCGGTATGGATCTGTGACATGAACGTGACAGGTCCGATAAGTCCCCATGACCCGCTGGCGCGAAAAGGGAGGTGATGGGCTGCCAGAGAAATGGCCGCAAAGAAAGCAGACCACTACGGCGGTATAGACCTATGGGGTGCCCTTGTGGGGAGCTTCCAGCGTTACTAAGATTACTGGCAGACACGGCAGCAAGGCGACTTTTTACCGCTGACCCTCGACCTACCAGGCTGAGCAGCTTCTACACCAGTTCCGCCAGCGCTACAGCGCGGGCAAGCGGTAGGCTACCTCATTGAATGGAATTTTGAGCGGATGAGGGCCCGCAACGAGCTGGTGTGGCCACGTGCAACGAGCAGGGAGGGGCTTGTGACGGAAAGGGAAGGGTGCACGATGAGCTGTTGATGGCGCGCGTGACGAGCAGGAACGGTCGTGCGACCAGCAAGGAGAGGCCCGCGTCGATCAGTGAAGGGTGCGCGCCGAACTGGTGAGGGCGCGTGCGTTGAGCAGGGAGGGAGCGCGTCGCGAGTATGTGGAGGCAAGATCCGAAGCTTTACACCACAATCTAGATTGTGTTATCTACTTGATAGTGTGGTGCACCACTAACTATTAGATTAGATTATCTACACTACACTATAAGGAATTTATGTATTCTGACAGTGTCCAGCCTCCAGATGCCGGACGCCCGGAAAAAAAACAAAAGCAAAAAAAAAAAAAACCGAGTGATGTAAAATCGGGATTAGCAATGTCGGAACCCTATATCTACTCAATTAGCAGGCAGTTGAGCACATGTCTTAAGTTGTCTAATTCCCTTTATAATGGGGAAGGCGATGGTGCCAGTCTTCCCCCACTCCCTGTTTTCCTCCTTTCCTGATGGGGAGTGGGATTTGATTGCCTGGGCAAGTATGAAGTGTTTCCGGAATCGAGCGTCCAGCGTCTGGATGCTAGCGTTTGGACACTGCGTCCAAAACACTGGCTGCGACTACGGTAACATAGCTGAAGCCTGGTTTGCAATTGATTCCCCCTCCCCCATGCCATCCGTATTGGTTGTAATTCTTTGCCGTTGTTTGCGTGCGATTGTGCTCCTCCTGGTCCCGCTGTCCTACTTCAACCACCCTTTCATCAAGGTCTCTGGTGCTTGCATTCACACCCTCAGCGATCTTGCAGCCAACCTGCTCTCAGGGAGCTTTCCTACTCAACTTAGTCAACTTACTCAACTCAATACCCTGTGAGTCGTTCGCACACAAGTGAAGTAGGTACGAAAGAGGTAGGTAGCAAACAAGTACGACCAGGGCTGCCTCACCATGTCAGCCTGCCCTTCTCCTGCCTTAGTTGGTTATCGAGTCGTTTATCTCTTTCAAACGGTCCATGTATCGATTGAACGGCTGGGTACAACAAAGGCAACTGCAGGTGAGTGGTCCTGATTAGACAGACAAACACTATGCACATCGTAGTATTACGGGGCTACTGCGGCTCAACCACGGACTCCAGGAAAGCAAAGCAGTCCCCTAGGGACAGAGCTTCCTCCGGTCATCCAAACAGCGGGTTTTCCGCCTGTCCCGCTAGGTTGATGTCGCAGGTTTGGCCTGTCCACGCTGAAGCGCCACCAAGCAGCGCTGGCGGATCTGGTGGTACGCCAGCTTGACTGCTTGGCATTGAAGAGCTTGCGAGCCGTAATGTCAGCCAGGAACTTGATAATCGTGGCAACCTCCCTACATCCACAGCTGTACATTTCAACCGCCAGGGAAAAGAGTCTCACATACGCCGCCCTGTTGCAGTAGTGGAATGCCTTCTTAGTCGGCGCTTCACAGCTTCAAGGTTGCGGCTTCTGCTGGGTTCCGTCAAGGTTACATCACAGACCTATACAGCCCTGGTGTTAGGTCAGGGGGCGGAGGGCTAGGGCTGAAGGCACAGAAGACTAGGTTAGGTCCTAAGGTATTTCTTTCCCTCTGTCGAACTACTGCCAAAGTCTGAACCCAGAAACGAATAATATCTCGCTTTCCCTCCTTGCTGATGGTTGCATCCGCCTCTCTTGGCATTCCAGTTGCTTGTTGCTCCATTCAGAACGCTAGAAAAAAAAAGCTCACTGGCTCCATTCCTCCCCAGCTTGGTTCCCTGGCTGCACTATGTGTTCTGTAACCCCTAAAGTTCTCGTCTCTCTCCGTACTTGTTTCTCATCCGTGGTATCCGTAGACCTTAAATTTGTTCCAGAATGTTACCATCATAAGAAAATAGCTTTGGTGCCTTTCTTGGCCCTTTTTCTCCCGCTTGTTTCTTGCATGTGGCTTCATCATTACTTCCTCATCTAATCCCACCAGTTTAGACATGAGCATATGACAGAACTAAAATTGTTTCCTGGTATTTACGATTCAAATCCAACCGGTACTGGTTCAAGTTGAACCGCTTGTTTTGGTTCGGTCATTTCGACGTGTTGGAGGTTCGACGCAGTCTCTTGGACAGTTGGGCATTTGGAAGAAGTTCAAATTCCAACTTCCTTCACAAACTATTCTTAAACCGAACCCAAACCAATTCGAGTTAGACATAAGCGAAACACGAGTCAAATTTTCTTCCATATTAGGAATAAAACTTGACCGCCCGCCCTACCCCCTTTGACCCCTAACAAGCAACTGCACCATCACGATCGATCGGTTTTTATTTCATTTGTTACCTGGGCCTGCACCGCCCTACCTCCTTTGACCCCTAACAAGCAACTACGCCATCACGCCCGCCACAGCCGCGCCCGGCTCTGCCCACGGAGGTTAAGTCAGGCCATGCTCGAATCCAGCAATATAACCATGGGAGACTCGTAATCATCATACCCAAACGGCCTTCAATCTAGATCAGCGAAGTAGGAACAATTCAACAAAAACCTCAGCAGATTCTGTCCCTAAATGAAAAGCATAGATGAAAATACATTCAGATAAATTTAGACCCTGAGTAATTAATTGGCTGTAGATCGAGTCGCATATGCTAGCTATAAACGGCATTCGTAAACTTGGCAGATCCTACAAAAAGTTATAAGTCGGGGTGAAACTTGGACATGCTTAACCCCCCTTTCCCCTCGCGGACGCGCCAAATGTCGAGACGGTTTTTTGTCCGCTCAACAGCCATGAAAAACTCTGTCGCGTCAAGAAAAACTCGACTCGTCTCGTAAACTGAATCCTCTACTCGTCGTGTTTTACTCGACTCGGCTCGGTCGGTTCTCTTTTATTCTTACGCATAAGAAAACCCAAAACCAGTAAATCTCTAATTGTCTCTATCTCCTGCTCGTTCTGAGACACACACCCCACTTACAGCCTAAGTGTTACTAACGTACAACCTAGGAACTACTTCATTCCTCACCACTTGCCCCCAAGAAAGCCATTATTGCGTCACTTGCTCACTTCACCACTCTTCTCCCTGCATCTGCTGTTGTCATGCCCTTCCCAGGTCACTCGACAGAAATAAGCTAACTGGATCTATCCCTGTTGACATTGGTTCCCTCACAAGATTGTATTATTTGTAAGGCCTTTTGTGTTTCCTGCTTTCCCAAATAATCGTTTTTGGTATCCTCTCATACTCCTAGCTGCTAACCCGGTAAATACATGCTTGCATTATGAGGTAGGGATATCCGACGTGACAGAGGGATGTTCTGCTCAACTCTTCAACGTAGCGAATGATGTTTTCAAGGACTGCGTCACCGCGGTCGTAGCGAATGATGTTTTGTTGCTGATTTTCTGCAATTTCAGCACCCTGGCTAGCTATTACTGAAAGCTTTCCTCCGTTCCTCTCTTGTCCCATATTTCCTAGCTTTTGCTCTCTCCCCCACTCCTCTCTTCTCAACCTGGAACTTGTCGTCCATGTTTCCTCCAGATATACTATCCTGTTCTGGTTTCTTGTTTGATCTTCTCTCCCCTTTCTCGTCTCTTGGATTCTCTGCGAGAACTTTAATCCCTCCTCTTGCCCACTCCACCAATCCATCTCTTATCCCTTGCTCGGTGTATTGTGGTTGTTTGACAAGCTTAGTTGGCTTTCGGCCAATGGTCTTGATGGCTCCATTCCTGCCACCATGGGCTCGTTAACGGCATTGAAAACACTGTATGTCCTGCTTTACAGAGTGTGTGGCTTTACAAAGAGAAAGGTCACTATTCTCCTCGCATTTGTCTCCTGATCCTATCCTGTCTATCCACTGGTACTGGCTAATCCGTTTGTTTTGTGTTTATGCTGGCAATACTGTAGCGTTTCTTCTTCTTATTTCTTGCACCATCATCATGTGACAATTCTTTAGATGGCTTCTAACACCTTTTCGTTCCTGTCAACTATTCAAGCTCATAGGAGGTTCATGGTTCGACGGTCTTACACATCTCGTTTTTATATCTCTTCATCTGCATAGTCTTGTTTATATATTCTTTAGCACTTTGCACCCATATAATCAGAGTGCCTTTTGTTTCCTGTTTCTTTTGATGTCTCTGTAGTTCCTCCCCACCTCGTCCTAAGCCCTTTCGCTCTACTTGAAAGGTTTTTTACCAAATGCTTCATCCTTCGTCAAAGTTGTGCCTTGCTTTCTTACTGTCTGTCACACCCTTTACAATGGTTTTCTATAATGCAGAAAAATGAATGGCAACAAGTTCACAGGAGATATTTCTTTTATTTCAACCTTGACAAATCTGGAATACGTGTAATGCCCCTTCTCCCTGCATGTCTACTTTCATGCGTCTCTGTTTGCTTCCTGGAGAAAGGGTGGGTGCTTTGTAGTGAAATGGAACCACAGGTAGAGCTCCCCTCTAAGATGTCTCCCCATCCTCACACCATTTATTTCTAAGCGGTCTGCCCTATCATTTTCCAAGCGTATTCCAAGTGTATTGCATGTTCGCGTATGTGCGTGTACAAACGCAATACGCCTTCCCAGCCAAGCATGTATTCCAAATTCACTCTTGACTCTCTGACAACAGCCAGAGCTGCCCCATGCTTTGTTGGGAAAGACGCTCAGGAGGGCGAGCGTCCCGCGTCTGGACGCTCTCATCCAGACGCAGGACGCAGACGCAAACGCACACAAAGAGGCAGGACGCTCTGCAGATTTTGGACTGCCCGGAAAACACAATCGACCCGTAAAATCTCCGTTCGCGGTTTTGACGCCAATGTTAGTCGAAATGGCGTACCAGCTACATGCGCGGCTGCCTACACTATCTTCGCCGCCGCCTTAGTCGAACTTGGACTCACTTACAACCCGGCCAAGTGTGCCGCATGGTACCGCTCCCCACCCCAGCTGCTCTATTACCCCATGGCGTACCCTTCTGCCGCGACAGACTTAACAGTCCTTGGAAGCCACATTGGCCCTGAGGACGGAGCAGCCCGCTTCACTTAGTCAGCTAGGACAAGAAGTCGGATACCTGACTAAGTGCAACCTGGCTGCACAGATGGAGAACCCACCAGTGGGCTCTCCGGATGAAACAATGTCCCTCCCGGACGCGCCAAATGTGGAGGTAGTTTTTTGTCCGCCCTAGAACTATGAAAAACTCTGTTGCGTCAAAAAAAAACTCGTCTCGTAGACCGAGTCAAATCCATATTCCTCTGCTCTGCGAGTTTTACTCGATTCGACTCGGTCGATTTTTTTTTTTTTTTTTTTTTTTTTTTTTAATCTTACCCGAAATGAAACCCAAAACTAGTAAATTTTGAGTACAGAAACGAGTCGAGTGCCGATGAATAGTTTAGGTCGAACTGCATACGGTTCCACCCAAACCAGGAAAATTCAGACGGCATTAGATGAACCTCAAACCCGACCCCCTTCGTGCTGGTTCAAGTTTGGTTCTTGCTCATGTCTACAGAACTGTTTCTCAATGCCTTTTGTGATGTTTCGTTCTCTCTCTACTCATGTAAGTTTGTCTCTATCTCCATGCTCGTTCTGAGACACGTGCTACTTACAGCCAAAGTGTTACTAACGTACAACCTAGGCACTACTTTCTTCCTCACCGCTTACCCTCCAAGCTGCCAAGTGCCACGTGTTTAAAGTGATTTTAAAGCTCTGAGTCAGAGTCATGGGTGAAAATTCTTTAGCAATGACTCTGGCCTGGTGCTCTCAGAAGACAGCCATTCTTGTGTCACTTGCTCACTTCACCACGCTACTCCCTGCCTCTGCTGTTGTCCCCTGGGCTATGCCCTTCCCAGGGCACTCCACGACAATAAGCTGACTGGATCCATCCCTGCTGCCATTGGTTCTTTCAAAAAATTGTCTTTTTTGTAAGGCCTTGTGTGTTTCCTATCTCTTCAAATAATCATTATTTGTATTCTCTCATACTCCTAGCTGCTAACCCAGTAGACAGACACATGCTTGTACTATGAGTGGGGGATGATCCAAAGTGACAGAACATGGTAAAAGGCATGAGCACAAGTCTAAGTCGGCGACTCGGCTCAACATTTGAACAGTATGGTGTTTTCAACGGACTGCGTCACCACGGTCGTAGCGAATGATGTTTTGTTGCTGATTTTCTGCGTTTTCTTCACCCTGGCTAGCTCTTAGTGATTGCGTTTCTCCGTTCCTCTCTTGTCCTAAATTTCATAGCTCCCGCTCTCTCTCCACTCCTCTCTTCTCAACCTGGAAATTGCCAGTTCATGTTTCCTCCAATTCTTCTATCCTGTTCTGGTTCTTGGATTCATCTTCTCTTCCCTTTCTCGCCTCTTGGATTGTCTGTGAGGGCTCTCATCCCTCCAGCACTCGTCTCTTATTCCCTTGCTTGGTGTTTTTTGGTTATTTGACAAGCTTAGATGGCTTGGGGGCAATTATCTTGACGGCTCCGTTCCTGCCACAATAACCTCGTTAACAGCATTGGAATTTCTGTATGTTCTGCTTTCGTGTGTGTCTTTGGAGAGGGAAAGGTCACCATTCTCCTCACCTCTCTCTCCTGATCCTGTCCTGTCTATCCACTAGTACACACAAAGATAAGATTAGGAGAAGGTCACCATTGTCCTCACCTCTCTCTCCTAATCCATGATAAATGTCCGAGCGAACTCTAGCCTACTCCAACACGGTGTAGAATATCCTCTGTTTTTTTTTTCCTTTTACAGTTTAAGAATTTTTAATAGGAAATTTGTGTTCCCTATCTACTCTTCGTTTCAGTGCATACTTGAAATTTTGGTCTTTAAGGTTTGGGGTTTAGAGATTCGAAGTGATTCTACTGCATCTATCTAAACTGAGCATGTTTGTTGCATCCCCAATTTGCGGCAGTTGTGCTCGCGCTTGTTTCTGGCCGATCTGATGCCTTCACGAAGCTCCTCATTTCACCACTCTGTTTCAATCCCTTTCATGATGTATTGTTCTCTCCTCACTCGTGCACGTATGTCTCTGTATTCATGCTGTTTCTCATCCACACACACCACAGCCAAAGCGTTAGCGACATACAAATTTGGCACTAATTTCTTGTCTCTAAGTTGAAGTACAAGGTCTGACAACTTATCAGCTCTGACTCGTGCCGGGTGACCCACAGCCACTCTCGCTGTACTTCCTCACTTTAACACGCAACTTCTGCCTCTGCCTTTACCCCGATGACCATGCTCTTACCAGGAGTCTGTATGTGAATAAGCTGACTGGATCTATCCCTGCTGGCATTGGTTCCCTCACAAGATTGACATTTTTGTAAGGGTTTGGGTGTTTCCTATTTCTTCAAATTACCGTTTTTGGTATTCTCTCCCCATACTCCTAGTTGCTAACCCGATACACACATGCTCGTACTATGAGTGGGGTTTGATCCGAAGTGAGAGACGTAGACGGCACGGGCACAAGTCCAAGTCGGCGACTCGGCTCAACTGCACCAGTCGCGGGTCGAGCCGGGGATCTAGTGCGACGGACTCATTCCTGGTTGAGCCAACCCGGTCCGGCTCGCGACGTGTCCACGTACCAACACATGGCTCGTCTCGCAAACGTCCGTAACTGCCAGCAGGCAGCAGCGTTGTCGAGTGTTGTTTTAGCTGTGCTAGACTTGTTTGCTGGAGACTATGGGAGTAATGCCTGCACTGCTGCTTGGCCCCCGAGGGTCGATTTCCAGGTGGGAACAGATTCTGGCGGCCTTTGCCACTGCGGTCGTGGTGAGGGAAGGGTTTCTTCATCGGTAGCTGCGCTCTGCTCAACACTTCACGTAGATGGTTGCTTTGCTGATTTTCTGCGTTTTCTTCACCCTGGCTAGCTATTAATGATGTCTTTCCTCCGCTCCTCTCTTGTCCTGTATTTTGCAGCTTCCGCTCTCTCTCCATTCCTCTTCAACTTGGAACTTGTCAGTCCATGTTTCCTCCAAAATATTCTCTCCTGTTCTGGTTTCTGAATTCATCTTCTCTCCTCTTTCTCGTCTCTTGGACTCTCTACAAGGACTTTAATCCCTCCTCTTGCCCACTCCACCAATCCATCTCTTATCCCTTGCTCGGTGTTTTCTGGTTGTTTGACAAGCTTAGAAGTTTTGCGTTCAATGATCTCGACGGCTCCATTCCTGCCACGATTGGCTCGTTAACAGCATTGAAAGAATTGTATGTCCTGCTTTCGTGTGTGGCTTTGGAGAGGGAAAAGTTACCATTCTCGTCACATATTTTACATAATTCTGTCTTGTCTATCTACTGGTACTGGCTACACACAGTCTATGACTATGTGTGAAGATAATTGTAGGAGAAGTCTAGGACAGTAGGTATGTAAGTACACGAGCCAAAAAGTTGGACTAGAGAAACACTTGAGCAAGGAGGTTTAGAAAACCCAACCGAACTTGCTGTGAACATGGTAGAACAATAAGAAAACACCATGACAAATGACAGAGCGAATTCTAGCTTACTCCAACACTGTAACATGTCTGTGGTTCGATGTTGCTCCTGTAAGAGTTGAAGAATTTTGGATACCAGTTTGTGTCCCCCATCTACTGTTCGTTTCAGTTCATACTTCAATTCAAGTCTTAGTTGGGGTTTAGGGATTCGAAGTTATTTTATTGCTTCTTATTCTGACCTACACATATTTGTTGGATCCCAATTTGCGGCCTTTGTGCTCGCGCTTGTTCCTGGCTTATCATATGCCTTCACAAATCTCCTCTTCTCGCCACTCTATTTCAGTCTCTTTCATGCTGTTTTGTTCTCTCCTCACTCCGCACGTATGTCTCTGTATTCATGCTGTTTCTCAGCCACACACACCGCAGCCAAAGCGTTAGTGACATACAAATTTGGCACTAATGTCTTGTCTCAAGTTTTATTACAAGCTCTGATCATTTCTCAGCTCTGACTCGCGCGGGTGACCGACAACCACTTGCTGTACTTCCTCACTTCAACACGCTGCTCTCTGCCTTTGCCCTTACCCCGTGAACCATGCTCTTACCAGGAGTCTGCACTTCAACCTGCTGACTGGATCCATCCCTGCTGCCATTGGTTCCCTCACAAGATTGTCTGCATTGTAAGGCCTTGTGTGTTTCCTATTTCTTCAAATAATCGTTTTTGGTATTCTCTCCCCATACTCCTAGTTGCTAACCCGGTAGACACATGCTCGTACTATGAGTGGCGGATGATCCGAGTGGGGGACATGGTAGACAGCATAACCACAAGTCCAAGTCGGCGACTCGGCTCAACTGCACCAGACGCGGGTCGAGCCGGGGATCTAGTGCAACCGACTCATTCCCGGTTGAGCCAACCCGGTCCGGCTCGCGACGTGTCCACGTACCAACACATGGCTCGTCTCGCAAACTTCCATAACTGCCAGCAGGCAGCAGCGTTGTCGAGTGTTGTTTTAGCTGTGCTAGAACTGTTTGCCGTAGACTAGGGGAGTAATGGCTGCACTGCTGCTTGGCCCGAGGGTTGATTTCCAGGTGGGCACAGAATCTGGTAGAATGCGTAACTGCGGTTGTGGTGAAATTTAGGGTTTCTGCATTGGTAGCTGTGCTCGGCTCAACACTTGAACGTGGGAATGATATGTTGTTGCTGATTTCTGCGTTTTCTTCCCCCTGGCTATCTATTAGTGACTGCTTCCCTCCGTGCCTCTCTTGTCCCGTATTTCCTCCCACTCCCAGTTTCTCAACCTGGAACCTGCCAGTCCACGTTTCTACCAGGGTTTTGCATCCTGTCCATGTCCCCGAATTCATATTCTCTCCCATTTCTCTTCACTTGAATTCTCTGCTAGCCTTTGATCCCTCCTTTTGCCTACTCCACCACTCCATCTCTTTTCCCTTGCTTGGCGTTTATCCATTCTTTGACAAGCTTAGGAGGCTTGGGAACAATCATCTCGACGGCTCCATTCCTGCTACCATGGGCTTGTTAACGCAAATGACCCATCTGTATGTCCTTTCTCTTGTACTGCCTCCGCGTTTCATGGCCTGTGAGATGTTTTCCAATGTGAGAGGGTTCCTTCTGTGCTGCCAAACTGTTGACGTGCTTTGCCCAGATGGCCTCGTCGTTGCTTGCAATCACAAGACCACGTTATTTATTTGTTCTTGCTTCGTCTGTTTACTTTCCTTGTTAAACCGCTTTTTTGGGCTTTTTGTATAGTTGATGCTTAATCCGTTTGTGCTGTATCTATGCTCACAATGTTCTAGCGTTTCTTTTTTTTTAATTCTTGCACCAAAATCGTGTTGCACTTCTTTAGATGTCTTTGCACACCTTTTCGTTCCTCTCAAATTTCCAGTCTCTTAGGGGGTTATTGGTCCGATGGTCACACCTCGTTTTCATTTCTCTTTACCTACATATACTTTGTTTATAGATTCTTTGGCACTTTGCAACCATATTATTCAAGTGGACTTTGTTTCCTGTTTTTTTTTGTTTTTTTTTTTAATTTCTGTAGTTCCTCTCCACCTCGTCCTAAGAGCCTTCTCTCTAATTGCAAAGACTAATTCCTGAATGTCGAAGTCGTGCCTTTTGTTTTGTCCGCACCCTCTACCTTGGTTTTCTATATGCAGTCAATTGCATGGCAACAAGTTCGGAGGAAATATTTCCTTTATTTCAACCTTGATTAATTTGAAAGAAGTGTAATGCCCCTTCTCCCTGCATGTCTACTTTAATGCGTCTCTTCTTTGCTTCCTTGAGAAAGGGTGAGTGCTTTGTATTGTTGGAGCCACAGGTAAAGTTTCCTTCTAAGATGTCTCCCCATCTCGTCCCTCCTCACAACAACTATTTTATCACGGTAGGCAAGTGTCTCATGCAACTGGCGGCCAAATCTGCTCTCTTGGGTGCACAGGCCGTTGCAGTACCATATGTCAACACCCACCCCGCCGTTGTTGTGCTGCAAGCGGACCTTGCCAATGCTTTCCAACAGCTTGGACAGGGGAGCAATTGTTCCTGCCCTGAGTGAATCGTCCCTTTTCTAAGGCAGGCCCTCGGACGCGGATTTTCATATCCCGCCACTACTCAGCAAGAGAGGGGTCAGTGCAGAGAGATCCCTCGAGTCCGTTGTTCTCGCAGTTGCCATGCGCCCACCACTAAGAGCAACGTTTCAGCCTTTTCCCGTCCGTGCTTTGCCTGGCCTACGCCGATGGTGTCAGCTTCTTGGCGAACCAGCCAGCTACATACTTGACTTTGTCAGCGAGGACAAAGAGGTCGGATACCTGGCTGCATAGATGGAGAACCCACCAGTGGGCTCTCCGGATGAAACAATGTCCCTTGAAGACTGTTTATCCTAGAGCCTTTCCTGGAGTCCAGTATGTGCTGTAGATTCCCCTGTGGTAATGGGTACTTTTCTGAATGTTATTGAATCGCACTCACCTGCTCCACACGCTGCTTTACCTATCCGATTATCAATACAAGGACCAAATGGGAGAGAGGGCCCTCCATAACTTCTTTGTTGATCAGTTTGTTCTTGTTCATTGCGTCCTATTTTGGGGGGGGGAGGGGTGTAGGGGGTGGGGGAGTGAGGGAATGGGGAGAACTCCCCCTACTCGAATGGAGCGAGAGGGCGAGGGCGAGAGCTCCCCTACTCGAATTTTCAAACCATATATCTGTTTTTCCAGGCTTGCTCTAGTTTTTTCCCTACTCATTTTCTCCCCCAGGACTCTTAACAACAATGAATACAGTGGCTCCATTCCTTCTATCGTCTCTAGCTTCCAACAACTGTTTCGGTTGTGAGGACTCTACCTTTTCCTGTTGTGTGGTTCCTTCCCGTATATCGCCTTTGCACTCTTGCATTCCCCTGTTTAACTGCCGTCCTTACCAGTCCTTCATTTCACTCCTCTTTATCCCCTCTAGGCATGAGCAAGTCCGAGTCGAGTAATACTCGATTTGTTTTTCAGCCGACTCGTTTTGTAAATGAGTCGAGTCGAGTATTACTCGCCCGCGTATTTTTACTTAGACCAGACTCGTTATTCGTGCAGAATAACGAGTATTTCATTACTCAGACCAAGTATTTAAGCACTCGTTGTGGAGCAAGTAATACTCGACAGTATTTTCCGCCCCCCACCATAAATTGCGACCCCCCCCCCCCCCCCCCCCCATCATGTCTGTACTGCCCCATATCCTAGGCAACTGATCTAATGGCGGAAGGAAAGACTACACTCCTCAGGGACCCACGCATGGAAGCACCTGAAGACATCACCATTCGCCTCGCCCACCTCGCTGTCACCTGCAGCTCTGCGGGAGGAGGCGGGAGGGGGGGATGCGAGAGCGAGAGCGGCAGGGAGGGTTGACGAGAAGATGTCAAATCAGCGGTTACGGAGGAGCATGGAGGAGGACCTTGCGTTGCTAAATGAGCAAGTCATGCATGAGGGTGAAGCAACGGCTATCTTTGTACAGACATGAGGGACATAACATTTTTGTGTGTGTCAGATGGTGAAAAGCTACATCGGCACCATGCTTCGGTTTTATGTCAGTGTGCGTATACGATACGTACGTCTCTTCTGCGATATGGTTAGAAGGCACATTCTCTTCCACCAAATTATCTGCCTAGATGGACAATCAAGTGCAAAGCTCGTTCTCTAGTCCATTGCACATGTAATAATGAAACATCATGCAGGCTCACAGCTACGTGTTGCTGAAATCTTAGTATCACCTCCAAGAACTCGTACGGTAGACTCCAGCTCTGGTAAACTGCTGCTTACTGGGTAACCTACTGAAGATCATTCACCTGATTAGGGGAAACCCACTACCAGATACTGGTAGAACCTGTGGCGCAAGATATTACATACCATGAAATGAAGGGCCTATGCCATGAAATGAAATGATAATTGAAATCGCTTACTACATATCTACAGTAATACGGTACATATAAACCCGAAACCTTCAGCAATGTGAAACTACCTACATTCTCTAGCCAGAATCCTGCTTTCCCTGCATCTTTTGAACCTCTCAAATAGCACCCCTGCTTCTTCTCCAGTACGACACATTTTCTCTTCAACACCACTTGCAACGTCAGGTGTCAGGAACAGTCAGCAAGAAGCATGTGACCAAGAGGCTCTACGTTCTTAACAGACCAGCTTGTGGATGCATAATGTGTATGAAGTTCTGGAACAATGAAAAGTGTCACCGTTTCACTTCCCGCTTTTCTTCAAACCCGCACCTCCAATAGAACCCTTAGCAGCCTTGGACTTCAATTCTTTTAAAGCCTGAAAACAAGAAACTCAAACTCAGGACAGCTTGAAAACATTTAAGGTAAGGTCAGCGAAGTCGACGAAGGAGTCTCGGTTCTAACCTTCTCTTCTTCTTTCTTCTTGGCTAGGTACGCAAGATCAGCCTGTTACATCCAAGAAAGGCGACAGATCACGAGATGCTGGATCGTCTCAAAAAACAGATGATAACATCAAATTGAGGCATGTTAACTGCTGCTCACATCGTCGTAGTCTTTCTCCTTGGCCTTAGCCTGTTTTAAGGGTTTCAGCTTGCCGCCTGCAAGTTTTAAGGACAACAAGTCACCCTTACGAAAACAAGAACGAATAAGAAGCTCACGCTCGAGTAGTTAAAGAGGAATAGTTACCTTGTCGTCCGGACATGGTGAATAAGGCACGTGAAGTCGCCGGGGAAGACGAAGGTGTTCAAGCGGAGTTGACAGGAATCAAGGTAGGAATTTGGCTATTACTATGGCAGGGTTGCTCACCTGATCTCGCTGGCTGGTGGACAGCCTTGGGGTTGGGGGTCAAGTCTCGTTGGGGTGAAAGGAACCATCATCACCACGTGGAACTCTTGCACACCGTAATTCGTGTAGATTCCACTGGGCTTGGAAAAAGCTCATCACCAACTCTTTTCATACTCGCCAATTCCATACCCGGTACTCGCAACACAACGGTTTCGACCAACCTGGAGAACAGTGCACTGTATAAGGAAAATGTATCTGTGGAGTTGGGTTGTCTGAACTCGGACGTGCAGTCGGTTCACCGTTGCCGGCTCATGACTGGGTAAGGATGCACAGTTCGTTTTTTGGTGTGGTTCGTTACCCAGTCACACAAAACTGTGCGCGGGACACCACACCGCCAGAACAGTTTCGCGAGCTGAGTAACACGACACTAACAGACCCATTGTTACAGTATTTTCGTGAAAATCGGCGCGAATGCTTTATCCCGATCTCTTATTCTGCCTGCGAAAAAGTGTCACCCGTTTCGTTAGAAAAACCTTCTCGCGCACTGGAGATCAGGTTCTGCTGTATGCCCAAGACATGTTGACGCAGTTACCTATTCAACCCAGAATTCATGCCTGGATTCTGATCGGGTCCTAAGTCCCCAAAATTTGTGGCTACTCCGCATTATTTGGTAACGGAGTGTGCATACGAGTGGGTTTTGTGCAACCCGACTCCGCCCTAAGGGAGCCCCTTTTTTTTTTGGGTTGCGAAGCAACCTATTACGATCGTTATGTACAATTTTTTTTTTTTATCCTCTTTACTTAAAAAAATGAAGGATGAAAAAAATCTAGTGAACAGAAGCTAAGTGAAGTGACTGACTACTATGTATTTGCCACGTCAATTTACCACGTGCCGAACTACATTCCTTCTCATTTCCTAGTTTGCTTTGACTGAACCTATATTTCATGGGTTGCCAAAATGATGTACTGTGAATGCGTAACTGTTTATTCCGTGATGCATATGCCGGATGATGTTATGCGTAGATGAAGTAAATGCAAAGTGCATAATTACAATGCATGTGCTACTGTGGTAGTTAAATGAATGCATACGGTAGCAAAATGGAAATGCGTAACAGTTAATTGACCCAGACCCTATGCTACCGCATCCCCTGCCTAGCATGGGGGGGAGCTCAATAGCATAGTTTCTGAATCATCCAACTGTTACATGAAACAACACAATCTGTGTGATATAAAAAAAGGGTCAATTCTATCAAATCCAGTTCGAATGGACACACTAACTGAGTGCGCAAAGAACCTTCTCGGAAATGATAGTTTGATCCCAATTTGTAAAACCCACAGACATGTGTTATTAATGCAATGGAAACATGAATGAAAACGCATACGCATACAACACAACACATACACATGATCATACACCTTCACACATACGCGCACGCACGAAGCCGAACTGACAAAGCATATTAACCGCAGATGAAATAAAAACCTAAATCACAAAGACATCATGTACCGTATTGTCAGAATATTATGCTCTAGCCTGTAGTGGGGTGCTCTATAGCGAGTACAACCCTTCTAGGGTTTGCTATTTGTATCCTCATTCTTGCTAGTGCAACTCCTCCTTCTTTGCCTAAACTGTTTCTTGCCTAGCTAGGGCTTTCCTAGCTATGGCGCCTTCTTCTACTGCTTACTTTCACATGGTATCAGAGGATAGCATCATAGTCAAGAGTATAGATATCTACCCGCAGCCGAAGCAGCTCCACCCAGTCGGGGAGCTCAGCCGCGTCGCCAAACTCCGTACGCCAGGCGTCGCTCAGACGGGCGAAGCAGCGGGACTCTGCGTGACCCAACGTCCCGCAAGGCTGACCAGTCCGAGCACCAGTGCGAATGACGTACGGACAGCGAGCAGTACCCCGTGACCCGTCACGCTGAGCGTACCACTCACGAAGCTGCTGTGGCGAAAGGACTGCTCGCGGACGACGCTGAAGCTGCACCTGGCCACTACAAGCAGCTGCCGAACTACTCACTCCAGGACGACTCCCACTACGGCCACCCCGACAACCCCAACTAGCGTACCACTCACGAAGCTGTTGGGGGGTGAGGGACTCACGCGGGCGACGCTGCAGCTGCACCTGGCCACTACAAGCAGCTGTGGAACTACTCACTCCAGGACGACTCCCACTACGGCCACCCCGACAACCCCAACTAGCGTACCACGCACGAAGCTGTTGGGGGGTGAGGGACTCACGCGGGCGACGCTGGAGCTGCATCTGGCCACGCCAGGAGCAGCAGTAGCAGTAGCAGTAGAAAGAGCAGCAGCAGTAAGAGCAGCAGTAACAGCAGTACGGGCAGGGCAGTGCTCACCAGTGGCGAGAAGGGCAGGCGTACGACGGCGGCAACGGCGAGGCCGCTACCACTGTAGAGCGAGAGCTCCGCGGCAGCTGCAGGGGTGGCTGCTCCAGGGGCGGCAGTTGTAGGGGCGACTGCTCCAGAGGCGGTTGCTCCAGGGGCGGCTGCTGCAGTGGCGGCTGCTCCGGGGGCGGCTGCTGCAGTGGCGGCTGCTCCGGGGGCGGCTGCTGCAGTGGCGGCTGCTCCAGGGGCGGCTGCTGCAGTGGCGGCTGCTCCAGGGGCGGCTCGGCTGCTGGGCGACTCGGCGGCTCAGCTGCTGGGCGGCTCGGCTGCTCGCTAGGCGCGGCGAAATTAGGGTTTTTCAGCCCGCCGTGCGCCCCGAGGCGCGCGGCGGTTTTCTGCCCGCCGTGCGCCCCGAGGCGCGTGACGGGTTTCTGCCCCGTCACTCGGCGCGTCGCCCCCAGGAGGCGCTACGACGGGCGACGGGGACCCGCGCGTCGCCCCCCGTCGCCCGTCGTGGCCTGCGCGCGGCCCGTACAGCCGGCGCGCGGCCCGTACGGGCTGCGCCAGGCCCGCGCGCGGCTCGGGCCGCCTGCGCGCGGTTCGGGAGGCTGTGCCAGGCTCGTAGGCGGCCCGTTCTTCGCTGCCCCTGTCCTCCCCGCTGTCCCCCGTGCTTCTGAAGGCGCCCCACCCCTCCTTCTGCCCGTTCTCCTGG